AGTTTCCCAAATATGTAAAGGGTTGTTGCAAGTCAATAAGATGATCAAAGGATATGAACCTACATTTCATGAACAGGAAAAGCAAATGATTCACTCCCATTTTTAATGAGAAAAATGCAAATTAAAATTAAGCCAAGATTCATTTTAATTTATCTGATTAACAAAGTTGAAAAAGCTTAGTAGTGCACTTTTGGATTGTGTATGAAACAATAGGCACTCATTAGAATTATGTATTGGTCCAACCTCTATGAAGTTCAATTTGGCAATATTTCATTAAGTGACAGGTGAAGATACATTATGCTTCTGCAATTGCATTTATTTGTATTTGTTACAAATAGTCTTAATGTTCAAAATAACATTTATCGTTAGAACTAAAACTATAAAAACATCTTTGTGATCTTGGGTTTGGCAAGGATTTCTTAGAGATGACACCAAGTGTACAATCCATAAAAGAAAAAAAAGGGTAAAACAGATTTCAGCAAAATTAAAAACCTTTGCATTTCAAAAGACACCATTAAGAAAATGAAAAGACGAGTCACAGACTGGTAGATATATTTGCAAATCACATATCTGTTAAAAGACTTGTATTTGAAAATATATAAAAACTTTTACAATTCAATAGTAAGAAGAAAAACAAATAACTAAATTTTAAAAGTTTTGAATACACGCTTCATTAAAGATATGATGAGAATAGCCAATAAGCACACGAAAAGATGTTCAACATCGTTAGTCATTAGAGAATGCAAATTAAAGCCATAATAAGATACTCTTTTACATCCCCTAGAATGGCTACACTAAAAAAGATAGTAATGAATATTTGTGAGGATGAGGAGAAAGAGGAACCCCAATCACTTATCGCTGGTGGGAATGTAAAATGGAACAGCCAGTTTGGCAAACACTTTGGCAGTTTCTTAAACTGTTATAGATAAATTTACCATACCACCCAGCAATCCTTCACTCCTAGGTAGCAACCCAGAGAAATGAAAACATATGTCCACATGAAGACTTGGTGCGAGAATGTCCAGAACAGTGTATCGTATGATTCCATTTTTCCAGAAAAGGCAAATCTAAAGAGACAGAAAAGAGATTAGTGACTGCCAACTGAGCTATGAGGGAAGCCCAGAAAAACAGCACAAGAAACCTTAAGAGACTGATGAAAATGGTTTAAATCTGGATTATGGTGATGGTTGTACAACTGGGAAAATTTGCTAAAAATTACTGAGAACAGGTGAAGTCATGTAAGGTGAGTGATTTTATAGCATGAAAATTATACCTCAGTACAATTTTTAAGAGCTTCCTTGGTGGCTCAGATAGTAAAGAATCTGCCTGTAAAGCAGGAGACCCTATTTGATCCCTGTGTCTGGAAGATACCCTGGAGAAGGGAATGGCTACCTACTCCAGTATTCTTGCCTGGAGAATTCCATGGACAGAGGAGCCTGGAGGGCTAGAGTCTATGGGGTCACAAAGAGTTGGACATGACTGAGCAACTATGACTACTACAATGTTAAAAAATGACATTTCTACAGTCATTGTGGCATTGCAAGAGCAAAAGAACCAACTTAAACGTCCATCAGTAGAGGACTAGTTGAGAAAATTATAGGGGATCTGTCTAAAGTGGCTTTATTTTTTAAAAAAGGAGCTCCTTTGTATGTTGGTATGAAGTAGTCTTCAGATTTTATTGAGTAGGATAAAATTTTGAGAAGTGCAAGATGTATAAGGCAACATTTGTGTGAAAAATATGGGGAGAATAATGCACACTTGGAATTTGCTTGTATATGCCTAGAGTATCTCCAACATAGAGTATTTTTATATATCTTGTAAGACTGTATTGTTATTGTTCAGTTGCTCAGTCATGTCTGACTCTTTGCAACTCCATAGACTGCAGCATACCAGGCTTCCCTGTCCTTCACCATCTCTCAGAGCTTGTTCAAAATCATGTCTATTGATTCCATGATGCCATCCAACCATCTCATCCTCTATCATCTCCTTCTCCTCATGCCTTCAATCTTTCCCAGCATAGGAAAGATTTCCTAATGAGTTGGCTGTTTGCATCAGGTGGCCAAGGTATTGGAGCTTCAGCTTCAGCATCAGTCCTTCCAATGAATATCCAGGATTGATTTCCTTTAAGATTGACTGGTTTGAACTCCATGCAGTCCAAGGGACTCTCAAGAGTCTTCTCCACCACCACAGTTCAAAAGCATCAATTCTTTGGTGCTCAGCCTTCTTTGTGGTCCAACTCTCACATCCATACTTGATGACTGGAAAAACCAGTCTTTGCTGGACCTTTGTTGGTAAAGGTCTCTGCTTTGCTCTGCTTTTTAATATGCAGTCTAGGTTTGTCATAGCTTTCCTAAGGAGCAAGTGTCTTTTAATTTCATGGCTGCAGTCACCATCTGCAGTGATTTTGGAGCCCAAGAAAATAAAGTCTATCACTGTTTCCATTGTTTCTCCATCTCTTTGCCATGAAGTGATGGGATTGGATGCCATGATCTTAATTTTTTGAATGTTGAGTTCTAAGCCAGTTTTTTTGCTCTCCTATTTCACTTTCATCAAGAGGCTCTTCAATTCCTCTTTGCTTTCTGCTGTAAGGGTGGTGTCATCTGCATATCTGAGGTTATTGATATCTCTCCTTGCAATCATGGTTCTGGCTTGTACTTCATCCAGCCCAGCTTTTGATATGATGTACTCTGCATATAAGTTAAATAAGCAGGGTGACGATATACAGCCTTGACGTACTCCTTCCCAATTTTGAACCAGTCCTTTGTTCCATGTCTGGTTCTAACTGTTGCTTCTTGACCTGCATACAGGTTTTGCAGGAGGCAGGTAAGGTGGTCTAGTATTCCCATCTCATCTCTTTAAGAGTTGTCCACAGTTTGTTGTGATCCACACAGTCAAAGACTTTAGCATAGTCAATGAAGCAGATACTTTTTTCTGGGACTCTCTTGCTTTTTCTATGATCCACTGGAAGTTGGCAATTTCATCTCTGATTCCTCTGCCTTTTCTAAATCCAGCTTGAACATCTGAAAGTTCTCAGTTCACATACAGTTGAAGCCTGGTTTGGAGAATTTTGAGCATTACTTCGATAGTGTATGAAATGAGTGCAGTTGTACGGTAGTTTGAGCATTCTTTGGCATTGCCTTTCTTTGGGACTGGAATGAACACTGATCTTTTCCAGTCTTGTGACCACTGCTGAGTTTTCCATATTTTCTGGCATATTGAGTGCAGTACTTTAACAGCATCATCTTCTAGGATTTGAAATAACTCAACTGGAATTCCATCACCTCCACTAGCTTTGTTCATAGTGATGCTTCCTAAGGACCACTTGAATTCACATTCCAGGATGTCTGGCTCTAGGTGAGTGATCACACCATCGTGGTTATCTGAATCATGAAGATCTTTTTTGTATAGTTCTTCTGTGTATTCTTGCCACCTCTTCTTAATATCTTCTGCTTCTGTTAGGTCCAAACTAATTTCTGGAAACTAGTATTATTGTTTGCCTCTGGAGAAAGCAACCGGGTGACTGGGTAGGGAGTGAGAGGGAGACCTTTCACTGCGTATTTGAACTGTGTGAATTATGACTTACACAGAAAGTAAATAAAAATGTAAAAAAAGATATTCAAATAAAGGAGGTTGTTTGCCCTTTCCATTTTTCTTTTCTGGAAGAATTACTTCCAATAGGTGGCGCTCCTGAAACACCATACAAGTTTTGTTGTTCAGTCGCTGAGTTGTGTCCGACTCTTTGCAACCCTATGGACTGCTGCAAGGCAGGCTCCCTGTCCTCCACCATCTCCCAGAGTTTGCTCAAGTTCATATCCATTGAGTTGGAGATGCTATCTAACCATCTCATCCTCTGCTGCCTTCCCCAGGCACCCAGTTACCCAGTTAATACAAGTTTTGCTTTTATTTTGAGAGAAGCCTAAATTTTCTCTGATGGCCTTTCTTCTCCATTTGTCACCTTTGGGAAGTATAGATTTAGGGCTGAAAATTTCTTTGCTAGGATTGCTCCAAAATGTATTGCTTTGTTTCTGAGAACTGGATAGAAGGGAAGACACCTGGATTTTAAAAATGCAATTGGTTCAGAAAATCAAATAATGCTTGGGCCCTGTTTCCCTGGCTGAAGTTTTTGTTTGATTGAATCAGAACTTCTGATTGACTGGAAGATTAATATAGGCCTTTTTTCCCCCCTTATATATATATATATGTATAATTTTATCAATAAAATAATATTTTTATATTTAATTATTAATAATATTTATTTTATCAATAAAATATATATATATTTTATTGAAGTATAGTTGCCTTGCAATGTTTCAGGTACACAGCAAGGTGATTCAGTTATAAATATACACAAATATTACTTTTGAAATTATTTTCCATTACAGGTTATTACTATTACTTGGGCTTCCCTGGTGGCTCAGATGGCAAGGAATCTGCCTGCAATGTGGGAGAGCCCTGGGTTCAATCCCTGGGTTGGGAAGATCCCCTGGAGGAGGGCATGGCAACCCACTCCAGTATTCTTGTCTGGAGAATCCTGTTGGACAGAGGAGCCAGGTGGGCTACAGTATATGGGTTGCAAAGAGTTGGACATGACTGAGCAACTGAGCACACAGCACAAACATACTATTTATATATGTGTATATAAAAGTTTCCTACTATGCTTAATAAAGGCTTGAGAATTATAGATCAGTGATTCTTAACTGAGGGTGACTTTGCTCCCGAGGGGATATTTGCAGTATGTGGAGATATTTTTGTTGTCAGAACTTGGCGGTGCTACTGGCATCTGGCGGAGGGAGGCCAGGGATGCTGCTATAAATCCTACAATGCACAGGAGAGTCATCCCCCTCCCCCCCAGGAAATTATCAGTCAACTCTCCCTACCCTCCCATCCTTATAGCTGCTTGGGGAAAGGAGATAGGCTTGGCAGTAGTCGGGAGGGCAGGTAATGCAAAGGCACTTCCTTAGAATTAGTGTAGAAACACATACCTACTCTGAGTCTTGGGTTCAGTTCTTCCTCAGGTGGCTGTATTGGTCATCTTCCCGTTCCTTAAGGGGCTATAAAGGACATTTTATCATCATCCTCTATGAATTAATTTGCTATGTATTTATTTTTTAATTAAAAAAATTATAAAATTTTTTAGCTTTTACTTCCAATGTCTTTAATTTTTTTCACCTTTCTTCAGGTATATAGATTTATGTTTTTTGTCATTTTTTTTAATGTTTAAGTTTTATTGGAGTATAGTTGATTTACAATGTTGCGTTCATTTCAGGTATCAGCAAAGTGAGTCAGTTATAAGTTATAAGTCAGTTATAACATATATCCACTTTTCTTTTTTTAAGATTCTTTCCCATTTGGCCATCACAGAGTACTGCATAGCTTTCCCTGTGCTACACAGCAAGTTCTTATTAGTTGTCTATTTTAGTTATAGTAGTGTGTAAATGTCAATCCCAGTATTCTAGTTTATCCCTCCTCACTTTTACTCCCTGGTAACCATAGTTTTTTTTTTCTACTGATGCATACTTACTGAGTGCTCTTTCTGGTCAAGGTTTTGGAGTGGTTTCTTTATGGTCCTGGGGGCAGACGAGGACAAGGATGTAGGGAGGTGCTGCATCTAGCTCTCTGTGTGGCCCCTAGTATGTTCTTCAGCTTTTCTCACTAGATCCTGACCTCAGTTTCTCCCGACCGTTCTCTTTGTTTCATCCATTCTACCCAAAGGGATAACGATGCCATTGTCTGTTATGTCCTAAGCAGTTTTGGTTTACATAGTAACTTCCAAATAACTTGCCCACCCCACTCCCATTCCAAATTTTTACCACTACTAACTAGCAGTGTCTCTTTGATTTCATATTCACTTACCTGGTAGAGCTGGTCATTGTTCAACAGCGTCTGCTTGTCTGAAGCTGCACAAAAAAATAAACAAAATGTACGCATAAACAAGACAGAATGAATAATAAACTGGGTTATATTCTCCCAATGGAGTACTGAATAGCAATAAGAATTAGTGAAATACATCTACACACAACATAATGGATGGATCTCACAAGCATATTGTTGAGTGAAAGAAGCCACACACAAGAGTACTTCATGTGTGAGTCTATTTACATAAGGATCAAAACCAGGCAGAATGAATCAATGTTGTTACAAGTCAGGAGAGTGGTTGCTTTGGGGACTAGGTAGAGGCTGGAAGTGACCCCAAGGATTAATTCACTTTCTTTAACTGGGTGCTGAATGCCTGTGTGTTTGCTTTGTTAAAAAAAATTTTGAGCTGTATATATGTGAATCATGCACTTTTGTGAATGCAGGTTTTACTTAAATAAACAGATTTTTTAAAAGTACAGAGGACAGGGGCTTCCCTGGTTGTCCAGTGGTTAAGAATCCATCTGTAAGTGCAGGGGACACAGTTTTGTTCCCTGGTCTGGGAAGATCACACATGCCACTGAGCAAGTAAGCCTGCAAGCAGCAACTACTGAGCCTCTGTGCCCAGAGCCCATGCGCTGCAACTAGAGAAGCCGCCGCAATGAGAAGCCCTCGCGCTGCAGTGAAGAGTAGCCCTGCTTGCCACAACTACCAGAAGCCTGCATGCAGCAGTGAAGACCCACAGCCAAAAATAAACAAATAGGCAACATTAAATAAACAGTGAGTGATTTTTTAAAAAGTACAGAGGACAAATCAGAGAGAGTTGTATCCTGAAACAGGCAAATATGCTATGAAAACACCAAGGATCCTTTTCCTTCTGCCTTCAGAGTCAGAGCCTCACTGGACCATGCTCATCAGCAACACGTGCCAACCCAGCCTCTTCTATTAGGTCTCTTTTGGTAGGAAGGAGCCCGAGGGTCCCAGATGGCCTCAGCTCTCATCTAAGAACATTGTTTTTTTGTTGGTTTTTTTATTTATTTGGCTGCGCCGGGTGTTACTTGTGGCATGTGGGATCTAGTTGCCTGACTGTGGATCAAACTCTGGCCGCCTGCACTGGGAGCTCGGAGTCTTAGCCACTGGACCACCAGGGAAGTCCCTAGGAACATTCTTTTACCTCTTGACTGGCGAGCTTCTTCCTGTCCAGCGATGAAGTAGACCCCAACAGCAAGGAGGAAAATGCTGACGATTTCAGTGAAGATAAAGCCAACCACAGTGGCTGGATTCAGTTCAATGCAGTTCTGACACACTGTGTGGAGAGGGAAGGACAAGAGTTCCTTCAATTCTGGAGTTTTTTCTCAAGATAATATTTCTGTCCAGGGCAGCAGGCCTCTCTGTGGGTGGTATGGCAAGGGAATTGCCTGGAAGATCCTTGGACTAAGAACTCAATGCTTTTCGATGTTCCTCTATTGTGCAGGAGTCCTGGGGAAATCCATGTGGTTTTACTACCAGCAACTATTGAAATAAAAGGAAGACCATATCCCATTCTCCATGCTACAGTCACTCAACTTGTAATCTCCCATCTCTTTTACCTATCCTAACTTGGTTTATATAAACTGCTGACCCTCCAAGCAGTGGGGCCTACCCAAAGGTGAGCCAGGCTTTATAAGACAGGCTATGCTTTTTCAAAATGTTGGGGGAACTGCTTTGTTAAATTTTTTAAAAAGTAAGCTGAGATTAAGAAAGCTGACTCTTACATTACTGTTTAGCATCTATGTCTACACCCACCCTAGACAAGAAGCTCACCAGAGCAGCCGGTACTGCTTAATTTCACAAAAGCAAACCAAAGGGGATACGTACTTCTATAATATACTTGGAGTGATTTTGAACTGTTATTTGATCCTTCACATTTATATATCCCTCGAGGGTCTTTGGTACTACTTCCAAGATTCCAAGTACGTTTATCTGTGTTTCCAGAACTTATGTCCTCCATATCTTTAAACCATGTGACCTTCTTTTCATTCGTGTCACAAATCAGAATTACGGAACCATCTTCTCGACTGTCATCCACTTTTACTGAAAAAGGAAATGTCTGTTAAGATCTTGCCTCTGAAATTCTCCCTGTCTCGGGGTGCACATGATTCACATGGGAATCTGGTTAGTATTCCAGGTTCTATTCAATAGTTCTGGGGAAGCACTGAGAGTTGGCATTTCTAACACACTCCCAGGTGAAGCCAATGCTGTTGATTCATAGGTGGTACTTTGAGTAATGCCTAGCTGCTAGGGACCCGTTTCTCCTCCAAGCACCAGACAATGAATTGTTTAGCTCCAGGAAAGCCAGGGAGGTCAAGACTGGCCACTGATTTGGTTAACAATGGAAGGGTTTGCTCTCTAGCCTTTATCATCCCATTCCTTCTAAGCTGTTCACTTGCTCCCATAGGACTGCTGTTGTGAGAGGCCATATTTTCATGAATTTCCCCAGTTTGATGATAGAAAGCAGCCATTTCCCCTACCTTCTTTCACCTGGGCCATAGTACCTGTAGAGACAGAAGACAGAGGATCAGTTGGGCATGGAGTCCTTCAGATCTCCTGATGTATCATTTCCACAGTCATTTGAGGCCAAGATGAAGAGAGAGACCCTAATCCATGTGAGTGACAGTATCTGTACTTATTTCCCTGGATGGTAGCCTAAACCACCAAACTGAATTTAGGGTGTTGTATGATAAAGAATTTGTCTAGTCTTTGTTCTGGGCTTCTGGGAGGGAGTTTCTCAATGCTTGGAATTTTATGAATGAGAGGATTGCATTTGTGATTCTTGGTGGACCCTTGGATCACATATGAATTTATGTTAAAGAGATGACTCAGGATGGGACAGGTCAAGACCAAACATGTGATTAGAGAATTGGGACTTTGAGCTCTAGGAAGTGGAGGAGGGACTGGATATTGAGTTCAGTCACATGATCAATGATTCAGTCAATCGTGCCTATGTGATGAAATCCCAAGGAAAACTCAGTGGCATTTCCTAGCTGGTGAACATATCAACATGCCAGGAGATTGATGTATTTTAATTCTGGAAGGAAAAAGCATGGAACCTCTGTGTTCAGGACCCTCCCAGACTTCACTCTATGTGTCTCTTCATTTGTCTAGATCTAATTTTTTTTTTATAATAAAACTGTACTAGTGAGTATAGGGCTTTCTTGAGTTCTGTGAGCTGTTCTAGCAAATTCTGAGGGGGTTCTTGGGAATTCTCCAGATTTGTAGGCTGTTCATCAGAAGTGTGGGTGGTCTGGGGATCCCTGAACCAGTGCCTCCCTTTTAAAGTGAAGATAGTCTTTTTGGGGACTATGCCCTTCACCTTTGGGGTCTGATCCCAACTCTGGATGGTTAGCATTGCGCAATTGTATTGCACTATAGGTAAGGGTATTGCCTGTACAGTGTGGAATGCTCTGCTCCTTTAGCAGCTAAAGCCTTGGGAAAGATTGGGTGTGTACTAGCTGAAGTCTTTTAGAGCAGAATTACTTCTATACTGTTCAGTTTTGGTGATCCATTTTTGTGTGTGTGTGTAAATCCTGAATGTCCCGAAGGAGTTAGCCACTACACAGCCCTCAAATCTGTCTCAAAACTCAGAGTAGTAGAGTTGCATGCTAGACATATTATAGAGAGCCAACACCGGAGTTCAATTCAATTGGATTTAATCCAAACACTTACCGATCACTATTATGTGCCTGACATGAATAAGAAGTGTGGAAGAAAAGGGTGGTAATACAAATAACTAGTTGTTGCTTCTGAAGAGTTTACAGTGAAGTGGAAAATAACCCACAAATGTAATAAATGTAACAGTACTTATAAATTATCATTTAGTACTTGTATAAATGCATATGGAAAGGGGTAGAAAGTATTGATTTTGGCCAAGGGTGAGGGGACAGGGAAAGCTTGGCAGAGACGATAGCAGTCTTAGAACTTCACACAGAGTTGAACTGAACTGTTTATGAATACCACTTAGCACAGTGCCTGAAACGTGGTAGGAGCATTATATGTTTTGAATGAAAGTATGAATGGATAAATGAAAAAAAAAAAAAAAACAAGACAAAGAGTTAAGCAGATTTCTAACTAGCTCTTCTACCCAGCAACCTGGTCACTGTGAGAGGAACAAAGTGTCCTCTCATTCTAATCCTGATACCATAGAAAAGACAGTACAATTGATTGCTGACATTTAAAATTTTGATTGTCTGAATTCTAGTTCCTTCTAGGACTTGAGGACTCATGTAGCCAAATTTCCTAGGTTGATGGGTGAGAGATCTGAGCCCAGAGGGAAGAGGCATCGCCAAGTTCACCTGGCGCATTGGTGACTGAGCTGCACACAGAACTCAGGTTTCTACGGCTCAGTCTGGGGCTTTTTTTGCTCGACAGGAATAGCTGCTGCACAGGCTTTCAGCACTGCCCCTCACCCGTGTTGCCTTCAGCTGGCTCTTTCTCTGTTTCTCTCAGAAATAATTCTAAACTCCAACGTCTCTTCTAGTCCCCCACTCAGTCATCACCAGCTCAATTTCAGCAGGTCACATTGCTGCCCACTTAGTTCATTGAAAACACAGATGCTGTGTTTTCACAGCTTCTTTTCCATCCACAAGCCTCTCCAAGGCTGGAGCCATTGCACTTCTTCCTCCTAGTCTCAGAGGGTGAGACTGCCTTGTGCTGTGTCCTTGATCCCACTCTTGCAGCCTTTCAGTGTCAGTTCCAGGGCCTCCCTCTACTCACTGTCTTCTCCTTTAGCTTGGAAATGTGCTCAAGTTTCTTTCACACACACACAAATTTCTTCTTAGAGTCTGCTACTTCTCCACTTACCACTCAGCCTCTCCAGCTTTCTCATCCAAACTTCTTTAAAGAACATTTTACACTTGCTGCTCTTTCCCCGCCTTGCCCTCCACCTTCTACTCATTTCCATTTGGCTTCCACTCACACTACCTCACTTAAACTCTTTGAAGTCATCCATGACCTTTGTTTTGCCAAATCCCACAGACTTAAACTTTTAAATATATTCTTCTATCAGTGGATGTATCTTTAGCATTTCATACTCTTGGTGATTCTCTCCTTCTGGAAATTCTCTACTCCCTTGGTTTCTATGGAATTGCACTCACCAATTATATCAGTTCTTTGATCATTCCTTTATCTCTTTCCTGACATTTTTTTTTCTCTAACTTTCCTTAACAGTGATATCCTCACAGTTTCATCCTCAACCTCCTCTTCCTCACATCTCACATAATACTTGAATGATGTCAACAACTTTAAATGTCTAGAGTCCATATTCCAGGCATCGACCCAGTTCATCCACTTCCTACTGTATTTGCAAATGAATATTCGTACAAGTACCCTATATTGCGCTTTATACTCAGTCTGGAAATGTTGAAACTTATCACTTCAATCAGACTATGAGCTCATGGGGGCAGGTTATTATTTACCTTTTAGTTAGTTAGTTAGTTAGTTAGGTCGCTCAGTCGTGTCCGACTCTTTGCGACCCCATGGACTGTAGCCCACCAGACTCCTCCATCCATTGGATTCTCCAGGCAAGAATACTGGAGTGGGTTGCCATTTCCTTCTCCAGGGGGTCTTCCTGACCCAGGAATCGAACCCGGGTCTCCCGCATTGCAGGCAGATGCTTTAACCTCTGAGCCACCATATTCTCTTTATAGCCTGATACATACTAGGATCGACCTCACACATATTTGTTGACCAGCTGACCAACCAAGTGAGTGAATGCTCTATGAGTCTACTCTTAGCTGGAGCTCTGAGTTAAGGAATACAAACTGTTTCTCTTCAGGCTCCTGGCCTGTGCCCTTTGGGCTACATTCAAACCTAAGATGGCGGCATCCGGGTCCTCTCTCAAGTCAGTAAGTCCTCTGTTTTGATTTCTTAAGAGACAAGCACTCCACCTCTCCCATGGAACACTGCTTCTCTCTAAAAAATAAACTTCATTTTTGCCCTTCCTTCTTTGAACTTTAGGGTGACATCTCAAGGTTAGGGGATCCCAATACTCTTGTCCCCCTGGTGATGGACTTCTTCCCTTGAGCCCTTCTCTGGACTGTCAGACCCCCTAGCTAGCCCTTACCTTGAAGAAGAGTGACAGCCAGGATGAGGACAGCCAGACGCTTCCCCTGCTCCATATCCATCTCTGTTCTCCGCAGAAGCACAGAGCGGCCCCAGCAGCCAGCCAGCCAGCCTGTGCTAGCAGCTAGCCTGGCCCCGCCCAGCATCCTTAGGGCCCTGTGAGCCTCCACCCTCGGCGGCTAGTGTGGGCAGGGTGGGGGCAGGGCTCAGGAGGGCTGCAGGTGCAGATGCCTCTGACTTTCCGTTGGGGAGAGGAGTGTGGGAGGTGGAGGGGAGGGAGCCGGACAGAGTGCTGGATTTCCATCTCAGAGACTCAAGCGCCCTTGGGTGCGGGGTGGGAGGTGGCCTGGGCCCCTTTCTTCATGAGGACGATAAACACTTCCGCCATCATCTGTTACTTGGAGCTCAGCCAGTTGTTGCCTGTTGCTAGCTGTTGTTGTTAGAACTGATGAACTTAGCTGGGAACCCTTAGGTGCTTAGGGCTGGAGCTCTAAACAGAGAGCCACCTCAGTCCAGGGATTTTTTTTCACTGCTCTTCGAAGATGAGATCATCAAAGTGGTGCCTGCCTGGAAAGGAATAGGTAGGATTATTCCTCCAGGACAGGAGATGCATTTCTAGGGACAGGGGCCTCAGCTGAATTCTCAGGATCTCAGGCCCCTCAGCCAGTTAGCCAGTGAATCAACAAAAACATACAGAGCTCTCGTCAGGTGTTTGGAAAACAGAAGCCAGCAACGCATGTAGAATCTCTACCCTTGGGTAAAGTATGGTCTAACTGCAGCAGTGTAGACAGTTTTGGATCTCCATATCCCAAACGGAAAAACACCATTTGTCTCCTGGGGAAGCTCAATTGTGCCTGCGACTTAATCATATTGCTATTATTATTTTTAACATGTATTTATTTATTTGGCTGCACAGGTCTTAGTTGCAGCACGTGGAATCTTTGGTCTTCTTCGTGGCCTGTGAACTCTTAGCTGTGGTGTGTGGGATCTAGTTCCCTGACCAGGGACTGAACCCAGGCCCCCTGCATTGGGAGTCTTAGCCACTGGGCCGTAAGAGAAGTCCCAATTATACTGTTATTAATAACTCTTACTTAGCACATGTGAAGTGTCAGTATTAAGTGTTAATTGCTCAGTCATGTCCGACTCTTTGCAGCCCCACGAACTGATGTCTTCCATGCTTCTCTGTCTATGAGGTTCTCCAAGCAAGAATACTGGATATGGATTGCCATTCCCTTCTCTGGAGGATCTTCCCAACCCAGGGATTGAACCTAGGTCTCCTGCATTGCAGGCAGATTCTTTACTGTTTGGGCTACAGGGAAGTCCTATGAAGTGTCAGGCACCATACAAACATTCTGTTTGAATTATTTTCATCATACGGAGGGAGTTAGTCTCTGGAGAATTCTGTGACTGGCACAGACCCAGCAGGTAGACAGTATTGGAGCCAGGATGCAAATCTCTCATTATCGGGCCCCTAAAGGCCAACCTCCCGCTGATAAGAAGCTACTTAGTCTGGTACCCCAGGAGGCCCAAGAAAGAGTTTGGGCAGGGTCCCAAGAAAGACCAGAAAAGGGAGGAATCTAGCTGGTATGGCTTATAGAATGGGATTTACAGCTTCTATCAAGGGTTTTGAGAAGTGGCAGTTTTCAGATGGTGAGTAAATGTAATCATGTTGCTGACAGGAACTGAGTTTCTTATTTTTCGTCAGCAACTCAAGAAAGGACACTCTGAATCTCCTACTTCCTAGAAGTCCCGGCATCCTTTTCCATAGCCTCTGCTTCCAGCTTCTACCCCACCCCACACTCCATACTCTGAGAGAGAGCGATTTGCAGCTGCTTCTTTCCTACCCCACCCCCAGCCTACCTCTACCCCAGCCGCTCCTGTCACCAACAGCAGACAGAGAAATAGGCGTTTTCTAGTCCCTCCCCCACCCTTTACTTTTTCCGGGTACCCGCGAGTCAGTTGGGGAAAGGCAGCTTTAACCCCGGCTGATAGTCTGTGGCCTGTGTCTGTCTCCTGGATGAGTTCTGCTGGGAGATGGAGCACAGCAGGTTTCTCTCTGGCCTGATACTGGCTGCCCTTCTCTCCCAAGGTAAGGCTTCTTCGAGTGCACCGGGGCATCGTGGGGAAGGGCCCTGGGAGGGACATTACCACCTGGAATGAGGTCCATTTGAAAGCGCCTCAGTACACCAGTGTTGTCAAGGAGGGCCGTGTTGGGATGTAGCACAGGGTCTGGGAAGCACAGGCTCTTGGGTTTGACTGACTCTAACTAGGGGGGCATCTTGGCCTTCAGTATCTCTCTGAAGACCTCAGGCCAGAGATCTATAGGAAGTTTTGTAGTAGGTGTGCGCCTGAGCCTAGGGCTGGTAATGGGAGCTTTGTTCCATCTAGGGTAGATAGCCTCCAGGGTCCAGGACTCCAGGTCATGTGGACACCATTACATCACCACCTGGGGCCATGGCCCAGCACTCAGGGAAATGCTTTAAGAGAAGTTCAATTGCGGCTGAGCAGGAGTGAGGGCAGATTTGGGGTGATAGAATGATGCACTCAGCCCAGTTTGCATGGTTTTAAAACTGAGAGTCTGATGTTCCAGGAATTCCCTCAGTTCCAGGCAAACCGGGATGAGTGGTTACCCTAGTAGTCAGCTTCTTTGGGAGAGTCAGGATTTCCACTGGAAATGGATCCCCAAGGAAGACATGAGTGTATGATGTGGAGCATCTGATGTACATGTGTCTCCCTGAGAATATATGCATGCTTTCTTGACAGGCACAAGGAATGGCTCTGTGGGGGATTTTCTAAAAGATGCTCTTCTATCCAAATTGGTAACTGACTATGAATCTCAGGGACAATGTAGATTCCACTTTTCCCTGGGATTGGAGATATACATTCCAGTGCCTCTGTGGGCTGTGGAGATGTTCTTAGTCAATAGCAATTCAATGGTCCTAGAAAGATGCTGTGCATACATCTAGCCCTTGACTTGACTTGTGTGGAGCCCCAAGAAAGGATTCAATTAAAAAAAGTTTTTTTCTGACCCTCTCCCCCAAACATGGGTAGAACAACTAGAAATCTTTACATGGGATTTGCCTTAGGTCCCCTTTTGGACCATTGGAATGGTAATTCATATTAGCTTCCCTCCTACCCCCAGCCATCACTGGCCCTGGAAAAGGCTTTGGTAGTACCATTCTCTGGGCAGTGGTTGACCATGAGTGAGGAGGAGGGAAAGAGGATGAGAAGTTGATGTTGGAGTGTGGCAGGTGGCTAGGAAGTAGAATTAGAAGTTTTCTTAGAGAAAAAAAATGTGGACATCTCCAATTGAGAACCATTCTTCTGCCTTTCAATATCTCTTGGGTGTTTTAGATTCTGGGCTCCCTTCCTACTTCTATTCAGTGATATGAACACATTTCCATGAAGGTTTTGGATTAACCCAACTCCATGATTTTCTTTTTTGCTCTGTGTTCATCAGGGCCTGTCCTCTATTTGGATTGCATCATCATGTCCTCTCTTTTTTTAATTGGAGTATAATTTCTTAACAATGCTGTGTTAGTTTCTGTTGTACGATGAAGTGAATCAGCTATATGCCTATATATGTCCCCTCCCTCTTGGCCTTCCCTACCACCCCCCATTCACTGTGTCCTTCTTGGTCTCTGCAGTTTGTGGGGTGCCTGCTGAAGCCTTTCTCTTGTGACTTCGGTCTCTCTCAGCAGAAACCTTGAACTGTTCTAGACTTGGATAGTGGTCCTTCTTAAGTAATGAGCCTCAGCAGAACAGTGGTCTGGTTGGTGCAGACTAAAGAGCTTGCTCCAATCGTGGTATTTTTTTTTCTTAGTGAATCCTGGCAGTCTAAAACTGACGGAAATAGAGGACAAAGTAATTTTGAAATGCAATTCCAGCATCACAGTGCTACAAGGAACAGCAGGACAAGAGATGTCAGGCAATAAAAGTCTGGACTTAGGAAAACGTATCCAGGACCCAAGAGGAATGTATCAGTGCAGCAATGAAAATGCCAAATCTACTCTGCAAGTATACTTTCGAAGTATGTGCTTCCAGGATCCTTTGGGGGTGGAATAGGTGGGGGCATCCGGACATGAGAACTTCCTAGCTGGAGGGAGCTCTAGTGCACTGATTTGTGCTCTCAACAAACTGGCCTGCTCTTGTAAGGGTATGAGCCAGATTTTGAAGCCTTGAGTGGGAAAGAGCTTAATGGTAAAAGAGCAATAGTAGTCTTGTGACCCAAGCAGTAGGGGCTTGGTCTGGAGCCTGGTTGGCTTACTGCCTTTTTTAAGCCTACAAACCTGAGACTACTTCTTGGACTGAAGGTTAAAGGTGGATGTAGCAAGTTTGGGTCTTGATATGAGAGCTCCTGGGGCTGCCCTCAGAGGCAGAGATGGTTCCCTGATCTTGAAGACCCGCCCCTTCTCTTCCGGCCTCGCTTCCCCCACAGTGTGCCAGAACTGTGTGGAGCTGGACTCGGCCACCCTGGCAGGCATCGTCATCACCGACATCATTGCCACTGTACTCCTTGCTTTGGGTGTCTACTGCTTTGCTGGACATGAGACTGGAAGATTCTCCAGGGGTAGGTAGAAGGGACAGACCATGTGTATGTTGTGGCTGTGTGTGTGTACCTGCTAAGGAATTGGGCTGGCATTGGGTTGTGCCTCATCTGGGCTTCACCATTGCAATCTCCTAAGGACTCCTATAACTGGTTACTGACAGAACTTGGGTACCCACAAAGCTCATGCAGGCTTCTGAGGGTGTTTGTAGCTGTGGTCTCCCGGCAGCATTCATGGGCCTCACTGTGCCACCTCTTTGGCCCTTGCTGACTGTCTTTCTCTGGGTCTTCTAGCTGCTGACACTCAAGTTCTGATGGGGAATGACCAGCTCTATCAGGTGAGTCCTGAGGGGAGAAAGATGAGAATGGGGGAAGGAGCGAGTGGGAATGGAGAGCCTGACAGTATGTTTAAGTGTGTGTGTGTGTGTGTGTGTGTGTGTGTGTGTGTGTGTTTGTGTGTGTGAAGGTCCTAGTGGGGAATTCATCACTGGAGAGTCCCATGAGCTCTCATCTCTGGGTTCTGCTGGGGTTCCCCATGGGAGAGTTCTGACCCTGCCTCTCTGTTCCCCTTTCTCATCTCTTAGCCCCTTCGAGACCGCAATGATGCTCAGTACAGCCGTCTTGGTGATAAGTGGGCTCGGAACAAATGAACCTGAGGCTGGTGGCTTCTAGGCACATCAGTTATCAACTGGACCATCTCTCCTTGCTCAGTCAAGAAAGATGTCCTCCTCTGCTTAGCACGTGCCTGGATTTTTGAAGGTTCCTGGGCATGGCATGGCAGTGCTGCCCACCTGTGTCCTTCCTTCATGACTTCCGTCCTCTGCCCGCCATGGACTGTGTGATGGGTGACCTCTCACCATACCCTGGCCCATTGGTGTTTCTGTCCCACTGGTGGGCTCCCCGGATGCAGGACCAGCCTGCTGCACTCTCTTGGCTCCAGTCCCCTGTTAGAATCCTTCTACAGCTTTGACTTCCTCACCACAGGCGAGGGTGGGGTGCTGTCTTTATGTACACAGCCACATAGAAGTTTCCATGACATCACAAGCGGAGGTAGCAGAGACATCGAGGGCCCTGGGGAATCACTTCTAATCAAGGCTCTGAGAATGTGTAGGACAAAGTCCCGCTTCTGCTAAGTGGCTGGCCCTGGCTTTATGATCCCTGTGGACTGGTAGGCACCAACTATGCGGAGGTTTCAGTCAAGGCCTCTTTAGTACCCATTTCCCTGTATAGAAGGTACCATTCTGTTTTCTTTCCCCAGAACCTGTCCCTGCTCCGCCCTGCCTTCTGCATAATAAACTGGCATCAGAACCTCTTCATCAGTTAAAACATATGATCTTTTCCCACCCACTTGGAAAGCTGGAGTCTGAGACTGGGTGGGGAATTGGGATATTTTCAATAGACGTCATCTTTAGCCATTGGGTTAGTATTTGTTCTGAAACTTTGGGATTTATTTTAAAAATACAGTGACTTCCCTGGCAGTCCAGTGGTTAAGATTCTGCGCTTCCAATGAAGGGGGCCTGGGTTCAATCCCTGGTTGGAAAACTAAGATCCTGCATACTGCAAAGCCAAAAAAAAAATTTAAGCACAACTTGAAAAAAAAAAATACACACTTGGATCCCACTTGGGAACATGCTTGGGTCTCCAGGTAATTCTGAAGCAGCTCCAATTCAAAGACTCTCTGGTTTAGAGGAAGAATTGAAGCCACTTCTTATTTTGTGTCTTTTATGCCCATTCCTGTCTACCACGGGTGGGAAACCCGCCTTCTATTCTCTGTGTAAGAGTAATTCAAGGAACTTCAGGGCAGTTTAATGAGAGCGGGAGTTTCTTAGGCCGGGGTTCCCAAAAGAGAAAATTATTAACAACCACATAGCCAGAGATCTGGATAATTCTTCCCTATCTCCTTGAGATACATACAGACTCTGACTTTGTTAGGGACAGAATGAACTTCCGATTTACACATGCTTCATTCATGGTTATGAGTTATTCCTTCCCTTTATACCCTTCTGCTGCAGTCCTAGCCCTAGATCCCTCTTTTACACAGGATCCGTCCTCCCCGGGCAAGGCTTCCACGGCTTGCACTGCACCGATGCTCATGTCCTTCCCTTGCACTGCACACCTCTTGTGACCCTATGCTCCTCATATACCCTTACATCCCCCTCTACTACTCACCAGTTCTCAACATTTGCTGTACATTGGATCTCCCGCGGAGCTTTCAAAGTCCTGATGCCTGTGTGCCACCCTCAGAGAGTCTGATTATATTGTGCCTCAGGTGATTCAAATGTGAAGTCAGGGTTGAGAAACGCTGACCTTCACCTGAGCCCTTCTGGAAACTTGGGTCCCTTCAGCTGCCTCCCTTTTTTTGTGCTTTTAAAACATAGCTTTATTGAAGTAAAGTGCGATGAATAAACTACATATATTTAAAGTGTGAAATTTCATAAGCTTTGTCATATGTATACATTTGTGAAACATCACCATGCTTGGTAAGTATCAGACAGTTTTCTTGTGACGTTTTGCATTCAGATTTTCCCTTAGCTGTTTATCCTCTAGGCAACTACTGAATAGCTTTCTGTCATTATAGATCAGTGTCCAATTTTCTAGAGTTTTATGTTAAGTGAAATAATATAACATATACCCCTTTTTGGTCTGGCTCCTTACATTCAGCATAATTATTTTGAGATTCATCATCTTGTGGCATCTATTAATAGCTCATTCCTTTCTAATGTCAGTAGTATTCCATTGAATGGATATACCACAAGCTGTTTATCCATTCACCCCTTGACTGTCTTTTGAGTGGTTCTTTGTTTTGGCTATTACAAATTAAGTTTCTATGAACATTCATATATAAGTCATTATATAGGTCATACACACAAGGACATACACTCTTATTTCTATTGGATAAGTACTCAGGAGTGGAATGGCTGGGATAAAATTTTTAAAGAAAGTAGTCTAACTCTTCTCTTTCCAGCCCCATAGGAATTGGCTTCTCAGTTACTACAAAATGCCTACTGAGAATTTGATCGGGATTGGTTTGAATTTATTGATCAGTTTGGTGTGAACAGATATCCTAGTGATATGGAGTCTTCCAATCCATGAACACATCTTTTTCATAAATCAGAAGGCAGATCTCCTTTTTAAAAATAATATATATATTTTTTGGCTGTCTTGGGTCTTTGCTGCTGCACGGGCTTTTCTCTCGTCCTCTAGTTATGTTGAGCAGGGGCTACTGTAGTTGCAGTGGCTTCTCCTGTTGCAGAGCACGGGCTGTAGGGTGTGAAGACTTCAGGAGCTGCGGCACGTGGGCTCTGTAGCTGCGGCTCCTGGGCTCTAAAGCACAGGCTCAAGAGGTGTGGTGGACGGGCGATGTTGCTCCGAGGCACATGGAATCTTCCTGGATCAGGGATCGGAGCCCTGTCTCCTGCATTGGCAGGCTGATTCTTTACCACTGAGCCACCAGGGAAGCCCCCGTGAACACATTTTTGGGTCAGATTTATCCCTAAGTGTTTTAATCTAAATTCAATTTATTTACTAGCTAAAGGGCTATTTCGGTTCTCTATTTCATCCTCACTGGGTGGAATGCCTTCTCTTTTGTCTTCAGATTCTATCTATCCTTCCCTTCAAGACCTAGCTCAAGTCTCCCCTTCTCTGTGGAGCTTTCGCCGACCACCTCAATTCTCCTAGTACCTCTTAGGAGCACTGATACTACCATCTATAGCACTCCTATGCACACACATTTGTTCTGTCGTTTTTTACATAGTTGGCCTCTCTTACATAACTGTAAGCTCCCTAAAAACAGAAACTGTTTTTATCCTTTTAGTACTTAGCACAGTGCTGGTCTGTCACATGAATGATTAGAAAAGCAGTCATAGGAGGAATACCTAAGCAATTCAATACAGAATTTTTAAGTAAGGAAAATGGAGTGTTTCTAATGATCACAGTCAGCACTGGGTACCTGTTCAGAGCGTAGGAGTTGGACAGCCTGGGTTGCTAATTCCACCTCTGTCCCTGATTAACTATGCACTTTGGGTGAGTGACTTCACCTCTTTGAACCCCCATATCCTCATTTGTAAAATAAGGACAACATCTATCTTCTCAGTTGTCACAGGATGAAACGAGGTAACTCTTGTAAAGTGCTAAGCACGATTTCTGTTGTTGTTTTATCACTAAGTCATGCCCAACTCTTTCGTGACTCCATGGACTGTAGCCCGTCAAGCTCCTCGGTCCATGGGATTTTTACGGGCAAGAATACTTGAGTAGGTTGCCGTTTCCTTCTCCAGGGGATCTTCCTGACCCAGGGATCGAACCTAGGTCTCTCGCATTGGCAGGTGGATTCTTTACCACTGAGACACCAGAGAAGCCCTCAAGCACAATTTCTGCTGCTGCTGCTGCTAAGTCGCTTCAGTCGTGTCTGACTCTGTGCGACCCCATAGACGGCAGCCCACCAGGCTTCCCCGTCCCTGGGATTCTCCAGGCAAGAACACTGGAGTGGGGTGCCATTGCCTTCTCCTCAGTTCAGTTCAGTTCAGTCGCTCAGTCGTGTCTGACTCTTTGTGACCCCATGAATCGCAGCACACCAGGCCTCCCTGTCCATCACCAACTCCCAGAGTTTACTCTAACTCATGTCCATCGAGTCAGTGATGCCATCCAGCCATCTCATCCTCTGTCGTCCCCTTCGCCTCCTGCCCCCAATCCCTCCCAGCATCAGGGTCTTTTCCTATGAGTCAGCTCTTCGCATCAGGTGGCCAAAGTATTGGAGTTTCAGCTTCAGCATCAGTCCTTCCAATGGACACCCAGGACTGATCTCCTTTAGGACGGACTGGTTGGATCTCCTTGCAGTCCTAGGGACTCTCAAGAGTCTTCTCCAACACCACAGTTCAAAAGCATCAATTTTTCAGCGCTCAGCTTTCTTCACAGTCCAACTCTCACATCCATACGTGACCACTGGAAAAACCATAGCCTTGACCAGACAGACCTTTGTTAGCAAAGTAATGTCTCTGCTTTTTAATGTGCTATCTAGGTTGGTTATAACTTTCCTTCCAAGGAGTAAGCGCCTTTTAATTTCATGGCTGCAATCACCATCTGCAGTGATTTTGAAGCCCCCAAAAAATAAAGTCTGACACTGTCTCCACTGTTTCCCCATCTATTTCCCATGAAGTGATGGGACCAGATGCCATGATCTTAGTTTTCTGAATGTTGAGCTTTAAGCCAACTTTTTCGCTCTCCAAGCAGAGTAAATGCTTCCTAAATGTTCGCTATTATTGTTTTCATTATGCTGAGCCATACCTTCCTTGCCTGGGCACCATCATATACACCTGGGACAGAACTGCCACCCTTGGACCAGCCTGCTGATCAGCAGCTAGTCATGGTCAACGTCATGGAGATTCCTTTTGAGCCTAAGTACTGCTTTACAGGGACAGAAGTAACTTCAGTGCAGGCCAGTAAACAGAAACAGCAGCCACAAGACCGAGGTTGAATGTGTACAGTATATGGGGGGCTGCAAACCACAGAGGACTTTTCTGAGTCGTGGTCACACCCTTAAATAGTCCTGTGGTCAGCAGGGTTTTCTGAGTGCAGCGAGCCGGCTGATATGAACTGGGCTGAGAGAGCCTCAGTGCTCCAGAAGGCTCTCTGAAAGCTGAGCATGTGCCCTGGGAGGCCGAGAAGGAAGCCCTCCCACGGGCCCTGCTGCTCTGCGCCCATCACCCTCACTCAGCGCGCAGCCCACATCCGGGCGGCTAAACCACAGCCGGCTTCTGGCTGCCGCGCGTGCGCTACCTCTCGCAGCGGAGGCGGAGATCCCTGCTCTGCCGAACCTCCACCTCCTCCCTCCCCTCCCCCAGCCCCCGCGGCTCCTTCTCTCCTCGGAGGGGCTTCCTTCTCGAAGCATTGGAAATCTGTACCCCCCCTCCCCCACATCCCAATCCCCGCCGACACACACCCCTTCACCTCCTCTTTTCTTTCCGCCTCCTTCATCTGCCTTTTAAGACCTCTATTTCTGTCTCACCCGTTTTCTGAACTGACCATTCATCAGGCATTCTTTGTCATCCTTGCTGTTTTTCTCCAAAAGGGGTTAGTCAAATGATTCTTTTTCTCCCTGTCTTTCTTTCTTTCTCTCTTCCCTCCTTCCCTTCCCTCCCTCCCTTCTTTTTCTTTTCCTTCTTCATCCCTTTCCTCTCTTCCTCCTTCCCTTTCTCTATACCCACCCCCCACCACCCCCTGCCCCTCTTTGATTTATTCCCCCATGCCCTTTTCAAAGAGAGCTTCAGGTAAGGCCTGTTCCAGCCGTGGAAACAGGTAGTACTTGCATTTGGGGTCATCGCTGGGAATACAGTCAAAGGTAGGGAGGACCTGTGTTCTCCAGGAACCTGTGCTGTCCAGCCTCTGAGGGCTTCCCAGAAAAGAGGGACAGCAACTCTTTCAGCCAAATACACTTTATTTCTTTTCTTTCTCATTTGACTAGGAAGTTAGCACATTCGTGGAGCTACAAATGACCATCTAGGAGTCCGCAGTGGAGACAGGGAGGGAGGGGGCACAGAGCGAGCTCTGGGCTGGGGTCTGAGAACAGGGCAGGACCTCTGCCAGCATTTACCCAGTCCATTCCCACCAAGGGTTTCCAAAAAGAGAGCTAGAAACAGAGAAAAGTGGGTGGAGTAGTTAGGGTTGGGGCAGTTTCTATGTAGGAGAAAGAGGGAACCAAGGGGAATAGTAATATCCACTGGGGAAGGAACGAATGCGGGCAGGGCGGCGTGAAGAACGGAAATAAATATCCGACAAGAAGGCCGGCCAGGTGTGAAGGGGTGAGTAGTCACGATGTTTCAAAGGATAATAAGGCAGCAACATCCCTGGACTGGGCGCCAGCAGAGAAGGCAGGAAGGAGGCTGCTGGGGACAAGGCTGAGGGTGGAAGCTCCCCACAAGGCAGAGGAACAGTTCTCCTGGGGGTCCAGGATTTGCCCAGGGAACAAACAGGGTGTGGCAGGCCTGGAGAGGAGTCAGACCTGGGTCAGTGGGAGATGGTGTCCGGAGCTGTCAGACGCCTCTCTGATTCAGGCCAGCATACAGGTCCCGCTGGCCTTTCCGGATGGGCTAGGGGTGGAATAGAGAGTGGGTGGTCAGCAGGGTGGGAGGAAGCCATTCCTGAGAAAGAAGGGCCTCTGCAGAATTAGCTTTGGAGCAATGGGAAGATCCTAGGCTAGGAGGCAGGAGGTGGGTTCAACTGGTAAGAGAGTTGATCTGGTCACCTCTTGTGAACCTCAGTTTTCCCATCTCAAAAATGGGAAACTAAGGGCCACTTCTCAGGGCTTTTGTCAGAATTTAGTGAAGTCACTCATGCGAAAGTAAATGCCACATGCTTGACTGGTGCTCAGTAAATATTTGTTGTGTTTGTCAAGGTGTGATGTGCAAAATATTTAACCATTGGTGGTGCATACACACCGATCAATCAGAACAGTCCTGGTGATTCTCTGCCATGCCAGGCAGTAACTCTTCACTTGCCAAATCAAAAGGTGGTCCAGTGGGGGAGGGGCTGTGATGTCGGGTAGTATGTGTGTTGGGGTGAGAAAGCTTGGGGCTACTCACTAGTGAAATATTTTCATATTTCAGCAGCTGGTAAGTACATGATGGGATGGCAGTCATGAGTTTATGGTGTTTGAGTTTGGGTGTATGGTATTCCCCATGGCTGCTCCTGAGCTAATTAATGAATAAACCAGAGAAAGAAGAGTGACACCGCCACCTGCACTGCTTGTGGTTGTGGGAACCCTGCAGCCTTTGAGATGACCACCTTCTACCATGACGGATGCAGAGGTGGCACATGTGGGTTGTCCTGGAGCCCTGAAGGAGGGGCTTTGAAGTGTCTGACAGGCCAGGTGGCCAGTCCCACCTGTCTGCTTCTCCTCTAGAAAGACCCCTCCCCCATTCTGCCCCTCATTACCTCATAGTCTGGATTGGGTACAGGGGGTGGTCTCTCCCTGTTCTGTCCTGTAAAGGAGGGAAGGGAAAACGATTCAGTTCCAAGAGGACACACCAATCTCGTGAAAATGAGACCCAGATCCAGGGTGGTGAACTCCCCTCTACTTCTAGTTTTTTCTGTTCCAGCTGCTATTTTTCCTTGCCTTTTTTCCATCCCATCTCTAGTGACCCTACACAGTTCTTATCATTTAGTGACCTCAGTTCAAGGTCCTTCCATGGTTTCTGAGTAATCTGAGATGGGACATTCTGTGTCGAGATCTTGGCCATACCATGAATGTTCTAGAGAAGCTGTTTTGACCTGGCCCGGGCCGGACATCCCCGCCTTTGTGGGCATCTCCTCCGCGATCTTACCCCGGGGCCTGCCGCCAGCACCCGCTCCTCTCGTCATAGGCGTGGCCTTGGCCTTTCGGCTCTTGCTCCAGTAATACACCAGCAGCAGCAAGCCCAGAGTGACACAGATGTCAACCACGATGATTGTGGCCACCACCATCAGATCCACCTCCATGCAGTTCTCACACACTGTGAGGCAGGGGTCGGGGGAGAAGAAGAGAAATCCCCCAGAAAGGAAGACACAGGACACCAGAGATGAGGAAGGAACAAATGAAGCTCATTCTCCCTTTAGTACTCACAAACCTGCCATGGCCAGACACCCCTCCCTCTGCCCCCAGGCTGTTTCAGCACCTTTATAACAACAAATGAAGTGTGGTGTTCATGGGTAGAGACTCTGGAGTCAGACAGTCCTGGGTTCAAATCCCAGCTATGTGACTCACTAGTTGTGACAATTCTGAAATGTGTATTGAACCTGCAAAGCTTCTGTTTCCTCACATATAAAATGGAAGTAAGATAGCACTGAACCCATATAGTTGGTAAGAGAATTATATGAAACGCCCGGGCAAGTGTTTGGTATAGTGCTTGAAACTTAATAAGCATTCATTGATTGTTAGCTGTCATTATTGTTTATGATTATGCCTTAGTTTATGACATTTTCATAGAGTAGCTTTGAGTCCTTTTTGCAAATCCTGAAGAGTTCATGTCTGGATAAAGTATCAGATAAACTAATATTGGGGTCCCATATTTTCTGGACAGGATATAATGCAGACAGGATACCCAGTCCTGTCTCTTGGGAGGTTGTTTTGGATCTAGTGCTAAGGTTACCCCAACAGCCCTATACTGATGTTTAATCTATATTTCAGAAAATACTGATGATGTGTGGCCCCAGATAGTCTTGGATTGAGTGTAGGAGAAGCACAAAGTTGTCAGGGGACTGTAAGTTGGGTAAGGGGAAATCCTGAGAATGCTTTTTTGAAATATCCTCCCTAAAAAGTCTACTAGTGCTTGCTCTGAAGACCTATATTACCTCTTGCTTTCAGGTACAGCCTATGTGCCTCCTCTCTGCTGCTTTCGGTTATGTAGCACTGATAATAACCACTGTTGTCCATTTCTGAAAAATTTTCCAGTGACAGGTCTTTATCATGACCTTCTACTTGTTTATCATTTATTTTCCATTTTACGTCATCTTCAGACTCTATAGGGCACGTCAGCTTAACAGTGTTTCCAGAGATGGAGACTTCATATGCTGGGGAATGGGAGAGAAGAGAAGGAAAATGTAAAGAGAGAAACCAGTAAGATTTAAGTAAAGTTAGTAGCCAAAGAACCAACCAAGTGCAGAAAGTCATCTGACATCCTCGATCTCAGATTTTCTTGTCAAAAGGCGACTCTTTCGACCCTTGGTTAAAGGGTATGAAAGAGAAGAGACGCAGAAGAAGGGGCCCTAGAGAACCTCTTGAAGATGACTTCAGAGTTTAGACATGGACATGGGGACTTGAAAGGAGAGGGTGAAAATAAAGAAAATCTATAGAAGTCCTTATTTGTAATGTTTCTAAAATGGGGAGTTAGAAATGTTTGGAGGACCTCAGTTCTTGGGGTTAATCTCCCTCAATCAGGTGCTTCTTCCCAACCACAGATCTGCATCATTGATAGGGCAGATATAAAAGACTGATAAACTTACGTTTCTCTTCAGTATTATCTGAAAATGAAAAAAGGAAAGAATGGTAAGAAAATAACCTTGGTTGAAGTTTAAATTGTAGGTAAAAAATTTCAAGTGGAGCTAGACACTGTCCCTAAGAATTCCGAGAGAATTCTTTGGGAGCCCCATGTCTTGAAGATGAGGTATGTACCTGGCCTAAGAGATATGCTCATAGACACAACTCAGGTACATCAAACTGAGAATATATCAGCATGTACTTCTAGACTGAGATCCACCAAAGCTCAAAAAGTCTTACAATCCTAAAGCTGAAAAATTCTAGACATCTTCAAATTTATTCTCTTGCATTAGCAAGAGCCATATTCCAGATGGATATGAAAGGGATATCATATCCTTCTCAGAGATAAAGACCTTCATTTCTTTGAATCACTGATTCTTATACTCATCTGTTTTTCATTATTCAGAAGTTTTTTCTTATAACTAACAGAAACCCTCATCAGTCAGTTCAGTTCAGTCGCTCAGTCATGTCTGACTCTTTGTGACCCCATGAATCGCAGCACACCAGGCCTCCCTGTCCATCACAAGCTCCTGGAGTTTACTCAAACTCATGCCCATCGAGTCGGTGATGCCATCCAGCCATCTCATCCTCTGTCGTCCCCTTCTCCTCCTGCCCCCAATCCCTCCCAGCATCAGGATCTTTTCTAATGAGTCAACTCTCCGGGGAAACCCTCATAGTAGAGATCAAATATCTTTCTTCTTATTCCATGCCACTTTCATGTTATTACCCTTAAATTATGTGAAGTTCTATATATATTTTAAGGAAATAATTCTTCTAATAAAAAGTGACATTATTTTAAATTATATCTCAGTGCAATCAGCTCTTAATTATATATATTAGAACTATTGGTGTGGACAACTGAAATCCACTAATAAAATTTGGGGATCCAGCCAAATTCCCCAGAGTAGGTAATTTTGCCCTAGGAAGTAGGGATGGGGAGCACCCTGGTTTCCTGGAAGACCTGTGGCTGGGACCCTAGGCAGCACTGGGTAAAGTATGCTCAAGCATACTTGAGTCTGAATATGTAACAGCTGGAGCAGAGAGTGATGCTCAGAGACACCCCTCTCTCTATTGGGGGTATTTTGCTACAGTGTGCTATGGGGACAGAACACTGGACTGAGTCAGAAACCCTGTGTTTGAATCCCAGATCTGCTTTAGGCTGTGTGACCGAGGGAAAATCATTTAACTTCTCTGAGCTTCAGTTTCTTCATCTGGGAAACAGGTAAACCATCCACCTCACAAGGTATTTGTGAGAACTACATGGATTATGAAACTGAAAATGAATGGTGCATTGCAGATGCTCAAGAAAAATGTTTTTTACTTTCTTTCTTTCCTTCTGGGGGTCCTGCTAATGGAGAACAGAACAGAGTACTGACCCAGTTGCTCAGTCAGCCCTCCAGTGGAGATCATATGGAATGTAAACAAGTAATTCTGCAGGTTTACCTATATACTAATAATGGGGAGTTGAGTAAGATGACAGTAGATCATCGATAATATTTTGACTTGAAAATAATTTTTCAGCATTCATATTTCTTAGAAATGTTAAACTAGAAATCATAAAATAATTTAGAAGTAAATAGAAATTTCACTCTGCAAGGTATGTTTGTTTGGAAAAGCAAAAATTGCTCACAACTCTTTTTGGCATAAATTCAGTAGTGAAGCGCAGACCAACACATTCTCATACAAGGGCCTAGATGTCTATGCTTAGAAGCACTTGTTTTATTATTATTATTATTTTGCTGTGCTCCATGGCATGTGGGATTTCAGTTTCTCAACCAGGGATTAAACCCATGGTCCCTGCAGTGGAAGCACAGAGTCTTAACCACTGGACCACTAGGAAATTCCCTTAGATGTCTCTACTTAGAAACAGGACATATGCTCACAAAAATTTTGTACATATTCATAATGATTAAAAAAATGAGTTTCAGGGACTTCCCTGGTGGTCCAGTGGTCAAGACTCTGTGCTCCCTATGCAGGGGGCCTGGGTTAGACCGCTGGTCAAGGAACTAGATCCCACAAGCTGCAACTAAGACCTGGTGTAGCCAAATAAATATTTTTTAAAAAATGAGTTTCAGCATCAGATAAATATGCATTTATATTTATATATCTGATTGTACTATATATTTATTTTCTAAGTCTTGGTTTTCTTATCTGTAGAACGGGGATGTTAGGAGAATTATGTGAGGAAATTCAGGTAGAATATTAAGGGCAACACCTAGAACATGTATGCTCAGTAAACTATAATGCTTATTATTTAGTCTGCATATTTCCCATACAATGATAGCTAAACTCTACCAACTGTTTTCCACCCATTAGATAATATTCTAAGTAAGTCAATCAATCCTCATAACAACTCTACAAGCTAGGTATCATTATTACTTATATTTCACATGTAATAATGCTATGGCATGGAGAAGTTAAGAAAATTATTCACTCAGCAAGTAAGAAGTTGAGCCAGGATATGATGGTCTAGCTTCAGAGTTAGACTCTTAGCCTCACACTCCATAACCTTCTCCACTGCCTGAGATATTGTTCCTTATAATACAAGCTCACCCTTTAAAACTCAACTCAAGAATCACCTCCCCTGGGGAGCTTTCCCCATCTATATCCTTTGCAGAGTTGGCCATGCTTCTGTGTATATTTTATTTTACTCTTTACTCATAGCAGGAAACAGATTATATTATCAATTATTTGTCTTTCAAATAGGACCATCAGCTTTTTTTTTTGCCTAACCATGTGGCTTGTGGGATCTTAGTTCCCTGACCAGGGATTGAACCCAGGCCCTCAGCAGTGAAAGTAAGAGGTTCTAACTGCTGGACTTCCAGGGAATTCCAAAGACCTTCAGCTTCTTGCGGGGAAGGAACTAGTGATGCAGTCATATGCATGATCATTTATTCATTAAAAAAACAGGTATTGAGCACCTGTTCATACACACACACACACACACACACACTGAGCATCTACCATGTGTGTTAGAAGTAAAAGTAAAGTGTTAGTGGCTCAGTCGTGTCTGACTCTGTGATTCCATGGACTGTAGCCCACTGGGCTCCTCTGTCCATGGGATTCTCCAGGCAAGAATACTGGAGTGGGTTACCATGCCCTTCTCCAGGGGATCTTCCTGACCCAGGGATCAAAACCAGGTCTCCTGCATTGTAGGTGGATTCTTTACCGTTTGAGCCACCTGGGAAGCTGTGTATTTGGCCAAGTAAATAAGGTGTTGTTTTGGCCTTCAATGAATTCATGACATACACAAAAAATTCCAACCCACACCCGCATATATATTCTTTCCTGAATGGATGCTCAGGAATACACATCACTCAGCTATAATCGGACCTGACAGTCAGCAATAAACATAGGCACATCTCATACAGATTCTATTGAAAGATAATTATATTTTCTCTCTAATGGTTCTGGCTCTTAGTATTTATTACTGTGATATGTCATGATCATTTTGATCCACATTTGAAAGGAAGTCATACAGAGCGAAAATCCTCTTACCAATTTCTTCTGAATCTGAAAAAGAAACTATTTGAAACACTCCTATCAGCTAATAAGGTCAGACCCTTCCACCCTGGGTTAGGACTTTTCCCTCAATCTTCAGAAAACAATGGATATTTAAATTTCCCATGGTTGCATATGAAAAACTCTTTCATATTCTACATTAAAAAAACTGGTGGCTAATTAGGTATAAAAAAAGGGTCCTAAGTAATCATTTTGAATATAATGTCTATTCAATACATAAATATAAAAATATATTTATAAAATTAAAAATATAATTGGCACTAGTGGTAAAGAAATTCCTGCCAGTGCAGGAGACATAAGAGATACAGGTTCCATTCCTGGGTCGGGAAGATCCCCTGGAGGAGGAAATGGCAACCCACTCCAGTATTCTTGACTGGAGAATCCCATGGATAGAGGAGCCTGGAAGGCTACAGTCCACAGGGTTGCAAAGAGTTGGACATAACTGAAGCGACTTAGCAGGCAGGCATAAAATTATCACATTGTACACCTTAAACTTATACCATGTTATATGTCAACTATATTCCAATAAAGCTGGCAAAAAAGGAAGATCTGTATTGGGCATAAATTAAACGATAAACAAAAACCAACCCCAAATGACCAATAGCATGCAGAAGAGATTAGTTTTTCTGGAGTTTATCAGGACTCTCAACATAGCCCATCAGTCAGTAAGGTAACATTAACACATTCTCCATGATTTATTTTTTAAAAAGGATTCTAAGGACACTACCATTTAGGCAGATTAATGCTATGTAATGGAGACTGGCCCAGTGCCTGCCTTTTAACACAAAATTGGTTCATTCAATTTGGAGGAGCTGAAATGAAGAGAAAGACTTCCAATATTGGGATATTCCTGCCTCTCTTCTATGACTGAGGAGGTAAGTCCAGGCCAGGCACACTCATATGCATGTGCACACATGAATACACATGCATGCACACACACACACTTTCAGAGTATTTGGACATGTAATTCTTCTTTTTTGTTTTTTAAACTTTTTGATCATACTCCACAGCATGTGGAATCTTATGGCCCTCTCCAGGAATGGAACCTATGCTCCCACACATTGGAAGTGCAGAGTCTTAACCATTGGACCACCAGGGAAGTCCCTGGACATGTAATACTGAATGTGAACTCAAATGCTGGCTCAGAGGCCTATTCAGTGCATCTCTAGGCATGCATTCAAGCCACAAATCCTCTACAAAAAACTCACATCAAATAGGAAATGAAAACTTGGCATTGTTTTAGTTGGCTCAGTTCTTTTCTTCTGAATAGTTAACACTCATTATTTCCTATGATCTCTGTTGCATTCCTCTTCTTGGCTAGAACTATCCCTAGACTTAAGAGGAAAAGGCAAAGGAGAAGACAAGAGAAATCCCTTTTATTGGTCTCTGTAGGAGGTCTAGTGAGAACATTCCTAAGTACAAAACAGACTGGGCTGATTCGATAACAAGGAAAGAAAAAGCATAACTCACCTTGTGCCCAAGCACCAGCTAGAAAATAAAGAAGAAAAGAGTTAGTAAATGTTGTGAGTGACTGAAATTCCAATTCTATAGTCTGACTGTTTCTGAGCATCTATGGTCCTTCCCACCCACTTCTGGATCACAGTTAACCCTATACGCTATGAGTGATATGGACTTCTAGGTACTGACCTGGGGTTTTTGGTCAATTTGGGATGAGACAGAAGAAGGAAGCACCTAGCATTAAACATGAACACACAGCATTTGACAAACAGACATTAGAAAATGTTGAGGTGTGCGTCTGGGGAGATGGAGAAAGAGTGAGAGAGTTTTGCAGTCCAGCCTCCATTTTAAAAAGAAATCTCTTAAAAAAAAAAAAAAGAAAAGAAATCTCTTGACTGTGGAAGAAAAACAAGCTCTGGGTTAGGTACAAAGATTGAGATTCTTGTTCTGTCTCTGACTCCTGCTGGTCTGATGCTTTGGTTTTTCCATTTGTTTTTTACTTGAGACAGAGATAGGAATACTTGAAACCAACTACTCATCAGCTAGAGCCTGTGCATTGAAGAGTCCGATCATATTTCCACTGGGTCCTCCAGAGTCCCTGCACTCAGCAGCAATCCGGATTCTCTGTAATGATCCATTTCCCTGACATCACCTTCAAGTTTCATGTGTACCTATTTTATCAACAGCCTCTATTTTGGGTGAGACACCCCTCCCAATCACTGTAACCAGAGCAGCCTGGGCACATTCTCATGAGGCCAAACCTCTAGGGGTGGTTGGGTCTTTGGTAGTCCCTCTCTCTCTCTCTGCAGAGCACAGTTTATACTATGGGGCTATAACCCAATGCCTTGAGGAGTCACACTCTGCCCCTTGACACTCCAAACATGTTCCCTGGACCAGTAGGAGACAAATGAGCCAGAGAGCTTGTTATAAAGGCAGAAGGGCAGTTCCACTCCAGACCCACTGAAGCAGAAGTTGAAATTTAACAAGATTCCCCAGTGACTCGTGTGCAAGCTCAAGCTAGAGAAACCCAAGATGAAACAGGAAGTGGAGACGCCATGGCTGTAACTCTGAGATGCAAGCCCCAGCTGTGATAGTGTTTTCTAGATCTCTAAAATAAAACCCTCATGAGCTATCTGGCCTCACATCATGCCATCATTAAGAGCACAGGCTGTAGGCAGTTCTGAGTTCCCAGATCAGCTTCTGCACTTACTAACTGTGGTTTTAAACAAGCTATTGAACTTCTTCGAGTACTAGTTTTTTACATCTGTAAAATAGGGCAGAGGTTCCCAACCTCTGGGCCACAGATGGGTACCTTTTGTCAGACCAGTGGCAGCATTAGATTAGAAACAAAGTGCACAGTAAATGTAATGTGTTTGAAACATCCTGAAATGAACCCCCCACCCCAGTCCGTGGCAAAATTGTCTTCTATGAGACTGGTCCCTGGTGCCCAAAAGGCTGGGGACCACTGAAACGAGGTACATATAACGTTTACCTTCCAAGGTGGAGGGAAAGATTAAATTAGTTAACACGGGTAAAGATTTTTTGTAACACGATATCTGGCACTCAGTAAACAGCAACCTTAAAAAAAAAAATCTATGTCTGATATGAGCTATGGAAAGCCTCTTAGTCACTTATCAATTTATATTCCACCTTCCTTCCAACAGGACTAAAGTAATTGAAAGCACTTGGTCAACTGAAAAGGACTGGAAATTATGAGGTGCTTCATTGTCTCAGATACTAAGCTTACTGTATACTTGGTGCAGAGTTTGGGTTCAACCATCTACTCTCCTCACAATAAACAGTGAAGGCGAACTCCTCTAATCTCCTTTGTGTTAGTTCATAAGGGCTGGGCTGTTCACTGACAGAACGAGGTTTTTCTCGGAGGCACAAAGATCTCCTTGCTTTCAGTAGATATGATCACCTCAACTGCTTTCCTTTAGCTGTTCTCTGAAAGGTCTTTTGGGAACATACTAGCCTAGCCCTAGTTCCCTGTGCTAACACTGCACCAACACTTCCTTATATTTTCTAGAAATTGAGGCTTCTTGATACACTGGGCAGCACCAGGTTAGGCAGTGAGCCTTTCATGGTCTGGAGAAACACCCATCTTTTCATTCCATCCTACTCACCTAATAAGAGGCAGAGTCCCAGAACTCGCCAGAGATTCCCCGACTGCATCCTTCCCTCACTGGACACTCACTCTACCTAAGATGGTGGAGGCCAGTTGGCTCACAACTTCTGAAAAAGAAACCAGAGGACTTTTTCAAAACCCCTGCTGGAGTTGAGGACCCTGGGGCCATTACTCCCAATGCTGGGATGAAAAACGGGGCTTTGTAAGAGAGAGACTCACCATTTTCCGAAGCAGGCACCTTCGGCTGGGAGGGGAGGCGGGTTTCTGAACCCCACACAGGAAGTGTGGAGGGGCCTCTGGGCCTGAAGGGTTCTACGTTTGAGACGGAGGCAGCCACCTGGGTTGGCTGGGGAGGGTTGGGCTCCATGTCCTCCCATTGGACGAGGGAGACCTGAAGGTGCTGTGAAATACCTGCAACTTAGCTGCCCAGGCCTTGCACAATGCACCCGCCACATTGGGGCTCCCTTCTCAGATACCCCTCCCCACCACACAAGCTGTGATAGGAAGAAAGAGGAGCACCCAAGAGTTGCTTTCTTTATGGCATACGTGGCTTGGGGCAAGCTGTTGGTTTGAAAATATATGTTGATTTAAAACCATGAGATGTCATTCTTTTTTGCCTATAATGTTTACAAAAATATTTTTAAAATGTAATATTTAGCCTTGGAAAGGGTAAAGAGTGACAGTCTTAGAATCTGCTGATGTGAGTGTAAACGGTTATGGTCTTTATTAATTTTTGAGCATGCATTAACCAAATGCTTACCCAGTGCCAGGCACTGTGCTAAGGGCTTTAACCAACAGTTCTCTAAGGATTTCCTTGGCAGTCCAGTGGTTAAGACTCTGTACTCCCAATACAGGGGCACAGGATTGATCCCTGGTCAGGAGCTAAGATTCCACATCCTAAGTGGCATGGCCCCCAAACAAACAAACACAGACAAACAAAAAAGACAAACTTCTACAGTTTGTTTTTTATTAGGGTTTCTCTGAGGGCTCAGTGATAAAGAATCTGCTTGCCAGTACAGAAGATGTGGATTCCATCCCTGGGTCGGGAAGAACTCTTGAAGAAAGAATTAGCAACCCATTCTAGTATTCTTGCCTGGGAAATCCCATGGACAGAGGAGCCTGGCCAGCTATAGTCCATGGGGTCACCAAGAGTCGGATGTGACTTGTCAACTAAACAACAACAACACGGTAGACATTAGGGTTAGGGTGTGGCCTCAAAACAAGCCAAAAATGACCCTCTGAGATAGGTATTATTTTCCTCCTCATTTTATGCTTGAGTCAACTGGAGCTCAGATAGGTTATCTAAGTTGTCACAGATTACAGAGCTGGGAGCCTCAAAAGTATTTTGGTGAAATTCATTGATTTAGTAAATATTTGATATCTACTTGGCTGTAGTATGTGCTGGGTGCTAGTAATAGGACAGTCACAAGATAGATAGTCCTCATGGAGGATGAAAGGAAATGTGGACCTTAAGCTGATTATTTCAGGAGATTGATGCTGAGAAAGAGGAAATACAGGGGCTGTGGGAGTGATAGAAGGGAGGCCTAATGTAGTCTGGTGGGTAGGGAAGGTCTCCTTTCTGAGGGTAACATCTAAGCTGAAACCTGCTGGAGGCCTGGAGTGAACCAGGATGGGGGGAGGACAAGGAAAGTATTCCAGATAGAGGGAGCAGCATGTTTGGGGCCTGGGGATGAGGAAAAGAGACGCATTCAAGAAACCGGAAACTCAGAAAGGCAAGTAGCAGAGGTAAGAAATGGAACTGAAAACTTAACAGGGGCCAGATGGAGAGGGACTTGCAAGCCTTGTTAAAGATTCTTTTTAAACAGTTTTGTAATTGGAGGATGATCGCTTACAATGTTGTGTTAGTTTCTGCTGTACAGTGAAGTGAATCAGCTGTATGTACACATACATCCCCCCACCCCGGGGCCCCCCTCCCACCTCCCACCTCCCATCCCGCCCCTCTAGGTCATCACAGAGTGCCAGGCTGCCCTGTGCTATATAGCAGCTTCCCACTAGCTATCTATTTTACACATGGTGTGTATATGTGTCAATGCTACTCTCCCAGTTCATCCCAAAAGATTCTTAAGGATTATTTTAAGGGTAGTGGGAAGTGATTGAAGAGTTTAACACAGGAGGATGACAGCATCAAATTCTCTAAAAATTTTTAAATGAAAAAATTAATTGCGGAAGTAACATATGCACGTTACGAACGAAGGAAAAGAGTGCAGAAGAGTACATACAACCGTCTCCTGACTCACCTTGCCTTGGCCTTATTCCTCTCCCTAGAGAAAACCACTTTCAACTTTGTAAGCTGTCTTTCTGGTGGTTACCTTCTTATCTATAAATGTGAGTTGCCATCATGCGGGTTCTCTGGGAAGCAAACTGCTATGGAGATTTGTGTGCAGGTGGCTCACAGAGGGAAGCGCAGCAACAGCTCTGGTCAGGGAAGGAAGTGGGATTGGCCAAGGGAGACGGGGGACGACAATGAGAGTTCAGCCAAACCAAGGGGAGATACCAGGCTAGGGTTGTATTGCGATAGCAAAGAGTCTCATATTCTATAATGAGTTTAAAGGGATGTTACCCATAAGTTAAATTATACATAATGGCTCATTGCCGGGAACCCTGCCTCCCAGGTAATGAGAGTCAACATGACATAACTTTGTTCCGCTCATAGGAAACATCCTGACCAGGTTCACCTGTGAATGACTGCAGGAAGGAAGAAATTAACACAATCTCTCCCGAGTCTGGCTGGAACCAGGACTTTACACCCTCCCCTTTCAGTATAAAAGAAGCCTGAATTCTAACTCTGGGAAGATGGTTCTTTGGGACGCTAACCTGCCATCTTCTCAGTCTTAATGGATTTTCCAATGAAATAGCTATTCCTTGCTTCCGTCACTCCTCTCTCGATTTATTGGTCTATCATGAGGTGGCTTTCTGGTTTCTTTCTGGTGGCTCAGATGGTAAAGAATCTGCCTGCAATGTGGGAGAACCAGGTTCAATCCCTGGGTCGGGAAGTTCCCCTGGAGAAGGAAATGGCAACCCACTCCAGTAGTCTTGCCTGGAGAAGTTCATGGACAGAGGAACCTGGCAGCTACAGTCCATGGAGTCACAAAGAGTTGGACACAACTAAGCAACAAACACACATACTCGAGGTGGCACTAGTGGTAAAGAACTCATTTGCCAATGGAGGAGACTTAAGAGATGTGGGTTCAGTCATTGGGTGAGGAAGATCCCCTGGAGGAGGGCATGGCAACCCACTCCATATTCTTGCCCGGAGAAGCCCATGGACAGAGAAACCTACAGTACATAGGGTTGTGGAGAGCTGGAAGTGACTTAGCATGCATGCATGCATGCAATGAGTGGTACAAGCTTGGACTTGTTAACAGGGTGACCCATCAGAGGAGTCCTGAATTGAGGCCATAGGCATAGCATCTAGTTTTCAGTATGAACTGTTTCCAGAGAGTGTGAACTCGGGTGTTGCAGCTGCTTCCGCTGAGAACAAGGCCTGTGAGAGGGCTCCGCTGTGAGCTCTCAGAGGACACATCTCAGCAGATGGGTGAGTAAGTGGTCCTCAAGGGGGAACGTGGGCAGCATCACCAGTATCCATGCAGGTCACCCCTTGACCTGCTTAGATCCACTTGCTGTATAATAATTTCACGCCATTCTTTAATCAACCTTTTCAGGATTCTGGTTGATCTCTTTTTCTGGAGAAGCTTGTGACAGAAGAGTTATGGCCCCACTATAGCTGTTCTGGGGGCCCCATCTGATCGTCATAATCTCCCTTCTTTGTTACTCATTCTAGACTGTTCCTGGCCTTAGATGTTAATAGCACTTTTGCTGACCCAAGGGAAGACATAGCTTGGGGAGCCTGAGCCCCAGGTTGGCGTGGCCTTCTCAGGCTGTGAGCCCTTGGTTTCTACATGTATTCTCCCTGCTCCCTGCAGCCCTGACTCCTCCTGATGATAGGAGAGATTCATCCTGCTGGGAGAGTGAATTATTTTTTTGCCTACTGCCAACTGTTACATCCCTTGGGCCATTGGAAAATCATATGTAGGACAATTTTTTTGTGTTGCTGACCTGTTCTCTGCACGGCAAGATGCCAGCATTTGGTTGGCTATAGGCCTCCAGCATCCACAACCACACACATTTCCAAAATACCCTCTAGAGAACAGTATCATCTTAATTGAGAATTACCATTTAAGAGCTTTCTTCCATCTGTGTTTATAGAACCCAGTCTCCAGTTCCCTCTCAAACTGAACAGAAGGAGGCAGCAATTGACTAGGAAATCAGCAATGTGGTCACATGAATGCTCCAAAATCACTGCAGATAATGACTGCAGCCATGGAATTAAAAGACACATACTCCTTGGAAGAAAAGTTATGACCAACCTAGACAGCATATTAAAAAGCAGAGACATTGCTTTGTCAACAAAGGTCCGTCTAGTCAAGGCTATGGTTTTTCCAGTGATCATGTATGGATGTGAGAGTTGGACTATAAAGAAAGCTGAGCGCTAAAGAGTTGATACTTTTGAACTGTGGTGTTGGAGAAGACTCTTGAGAGTCCCTTGGACTGCAAGGAGATCCAACCAGTCCATCCTAAAGGAGATCAGTCCTGAGTGTTCATTGGAAGGACTGATGCAGAAGTTGAAACTCCAATACTTTGGCCACCAGATGTGAAGAGTTGGCTCATTGGAAAAGACCCTGATGCTGGGAAGGATTGAAGGTGGGAGGAGAAGGGGACGACAGAGGATGAGATGCTTGGATGGCATCACCAACTCAATGGTCATGAGTTTGAGTAAACTCTGGGAGTTGGTGATGGACAGGGAGGCCTGGCGTGCTGCAGTCCATGGGGTCACAAAGAGTCGGGCACGACTGAGCCACTGAACTGAACTGAATGCTCGGCATGAAATGTCTCTGTTTTTCTGAACTTTGCGCTCACTCAGCCTGCACCACAGCCTCTAGACCGCCTAGGACTCCACTGTTTCCTGGGAGTCTCTTAGGTCTGTTCTTCCCTATGGCTTCCCAAATGGTCTCCATCTCTGTCCTAG